GCCACGCGTGCCACGCTCCCCGACCCTGGCACGCCATGAAGCCAAGGTGAGAGACCACCCCCTGCGCAACCCCTCTCGTGTCGAGAAAAGTGCCACACGTGCAACGCTTTCCGACCGTGGCACGCACAGTGGCCGCGGTGAAGAAGCACCCGATGCGCACTCCCTCTGGTGTCGAAAGAGTGCCACGCCTGCCACGCCCCCCGACCCTGGCACGCCTTGAGGCCGAGGTGAGAGACCACCCCCTGCGCAATCCCTCTGGTGTCGAGAAAGTGCCACGCCTGCCACGCTTTCCGACCCTGGCAAGCAGAGAGGCCGCGGTGAAGGACCACCCGATGCGCAACCCTTCCAGTGTCGAGAAAGTGCCACACCTGCCACGCTTTCCGACCCTGGCGCGCATAGAGGCCGCGGTGAAGGACCAGCCCCTGCGCACCCCCTCTGGTGTCCAGCAAGTACCACGCCTGCCACGCTCTCCGACCCTGGCACGCATAGGGGCCGCGGTGAGAGGCCACCCCGTGCGACCCCCCCAGGGTGGCGGTGTTGGTGTAAACGTTCACTGACATACTAGGGCTCAGCCGTCTGAGCTGCGTGGGCGGCATCATGCTGAACGTTTCTAGTAAGCTCCTCCTCCTCCTCCTCCTCCTCCTCATCATTATCCTCCTCCTCCTCCTCCTCCTCCTCCTCCTCCTCCTCCTCCTCCTCCTCCTCCTCCTTGGGCACTGATCCTCCGCTCCGACAAGCGCACGCCGCGCCCGAACCCGAGCCCAGCGCGTCTGCAGGCCCGTGGCGCCGAAGCCGGCCATGGCCACGCCCTGGGCCGCGACGCACCTGCGCGCGGCTCTTGCGGAGGATGGGCCCGCCCTCGACCGCCCGCCTGCGCGGCCCCCCCTTAGATGCTCATTCTGGGGACCTTCCTGCAGTCACTCGCTCCACTCGTGCGTCGAAGCTGCGTCGAACCTGAGTCGAACATGAGTCGAACCTGAGTCGAACCTGAGTCGAATCTGAGTCGAACTTGAGTCGAACTTGAGTCGAACCTGCGTCGAACAGATCCATTAGGTGGCCCCCAGGAAGGTCCCCAAAACGAGCATCGAGCCCCCCTGTGCGACCCGCTGTTTGTATGATTACAACAGCGCGTTCTGGATCCATTTCCCAGCGATTGGAGCGGTATGGACGATCCGTTTACTCATTGTGCACGTGCATCGTGTTCGTTATTTCCAGCGTCTCTCACTGCATGTTTCCCTCATTCCTCCCCCTCCCCCTCCTGATCATCCTTGGTCTCGTTTTCATGCTCTTCCCGATTTCTGTTGCAATCCCATTGCAAACCTAATCATCATAGTCATTGTTGTTCTGCCTGTAATGCGCCTCTATGTTCAAGTTTTCTTCTGCGGGCCACGTTTCACACCCGTCTTCGGGGCCATGTTTCATACCCGTCTTCGGCCATTGGCAACCCCCCGAAGGGATCCAAGAAAAACAAGGACAAACTCGACGCTGACATCGAGCGGCGGGCGAAGAAACGGATACTAGTGCACGGATACTAGAAACGGATACTAGTGCACGAGTAACGTGTCCACGGAGCGCGAGTGCAACTTGGCCGACTGTGTTCTTCCAATGGCAGATGGGTTACACATTGAATTCCTGCGTGGGGAATTACAATTTGAATTTGATTGTGGGCCTTTTCAACTTGATTTTAATTGTGGAGGTTTACAAATGGAATTTGATTGTAGGGCTTTCCGCATTGATTATAATTGTGGGGAATTGCAGGGGCTTGTTGTGCGGCCGCGGAGGCTTAGTAGGAAAACAAGAAAAATAGGAAAAGCATGAAAAACGCTTCTTTTTTCACAGGGAAAAACAGGAAACACCAAGAAAACATGTGACTGTTAGTTCTTTTTTTAACTTGTCCTGTTCTTCCCTGTGAAAGCACAACGTGTTTTCATGTTTTTCCTGTTTTTCCTGTTTTCCTGGTAAGCCTCCGCAGCCCCAGGGTACTGCTTTGGGAAATTCCCCACGCTTTAAATCAATGTGTAAATGGGTTACACATTGAATTCCTTTGTGGGGAATTGCACATTGAATTTGATTATGGGCCTTTTCGAATTGATTTGAATTGTGGAGATTTACAAATTGAACTTGATTGTGGGGCTTTCCACATTGATTTAAAAAGGTGGGCATTGCATGGGCTTGTTGTGCGGCCGCGGAGGCTTAGTAGGAAAACAAGAAAACCATGACAAACAGTATCAAAAACGCAGTGTTTTCACATGGAAAAACAAGAAATAAACAGAATACATGTGACTGTCAATTCTTTTTTAGTTTGTCCTGTTCCCCCCTGTGAAAACACAGCGTTTTCCATGTTTTTCATATTTTTCCTGTTTTCCCGGTAAGCCTCCGCCGCCCCAGGGCACTGCTTTTGGAAATTCTTACAATTGAAATCAATGTGTAAATGGGTTACACATTGAATTCCTTTGTGGGGAATTGCAATTTGAATTTGATTGTGGGCCTTTTCAAATTGATTTTGATTGTGGAGATTTACAAGTTGAATTTGATTGTAGGGCTTTCCGCATTGATTTTAATTGTGGGGAATTGCAGGGGTTTGTTGTGCGGCCGCGGAGGCTTAGTAGGAAAACAAGAAAAACAGGAAAAACATTAAAAACGCTGCGCTTTCACAGGGAAAAACAAGAAACACCAAGAAAACATATGACTGTCAGTTCTTTTTTTAGCTTGTCCTGTTCTTCCCTGTGAAAACAACGTTTTTCATGTTTTTCCTCTTTTTTTTCTTGTTTTCCTGGTCAGCCTCCGCAGCCCCAGGGCACTGCTTTTGGAAATTCCCCACAATTTAAATCAACTGGTAAATTGGTTATACATTGAATTCTTTTGTGGGGAATTGCGAATTGAATTTGATTGTGGGCCTTTTCGGATTGATTTTGATTGTGGAGATTTACAAATTGAACTTGATTGTGGGGCTTTCCAACTTGATTCTAATTGTGCGGAATTCCAAGGGCCTGCAGTGCGGCCGCGGAGGCTTAGGAGAACCAGAAAAACAGGGAAAACAGGAAAAACGCTGTGTTTTCATATGGAAAAAACAATAAAACAACTCGGAAAACCTGTGACTGATAGTTTTTTCTCCTGTTTTCCCATGTGAAAACATAGCGTTTTTCATGCTTTTCCTGTTTTTCCTGTTTTCCTGGTAAGCCTCCGCTGCCCCACGGCACTGCTTGTGGAAATTCCCCACACTTAAAATCAATGTGTAAATGGGTTACAAATTGAGTTGTTCCTGTTTTCCTGGTAAGTTCCCGCGGCCCCTGGAAATCCCCACAATCAGAATCAATGTGTAAATGGCTTACACATTGATTATGATTGTCGATGCTTCTGGAGACCGTGTAGAAGCAAGAACAATTTCAAAATAGACTTTACATTGATTCTGCTTGTGAACAATTCAATGTGATGATCTTTGTTGAAATCAAAAAACATCTGGTTGTAATCGCACGAACGGAGGGTCCTACCGCCCTCGGCAATCAGCCCTGAAATCTGGGCGTCGCAATGCTTTCACACCAGGTGCGTTCGCCCAATTTCGGGCCTCGAAGCCATCATAGATCGATCCGGGCAAAAAGATGCCGCAAAAAGATTGGGTGGGGGGACCCGGTAACGATTTTTCGCGATGCTGCATTTGCTGCATCGCCGGATCTCAGGGGGCAACGACGACGACCAACGACGACAGCGGCCGCAATTGCGGCGGCACCGCCGCCGACGACGACGCCGACGACAGACGACGCCGACGCCGACAAGGACGACCGACGACGGCAACCAGCGGCGGCGACGACGGTGTGCCGCTGTTGCTGCTGCTGCTACTCCGGCCCGCCACGCCCACCTCCTAGGCCGCGGCACACCCGTACAGCCGGTCGGGGGGCGCGGCCCCGCCCCCGACCGGATTCTGCGCCGGACAAGGGAGGGGGGAGGGGGGGTCGGCCTCGCCTCCTCATCCTCCTCCTCCTCCTCCTCCTCCTCCTCCTCCTTCTCCTCCTCCTCCTCCTCATCCTCATCCTCAATCCTCCTCCTCCTCATCATCATCCTCCTCGTGAAAGCTGCGAGCTGAGAACTGGTGGCCTGCAACTCCGTCGGATGTGGCCCCCTCCTCCTCGGAGGAGGAGGAGAAGAGAGGAGGCGAGAGGAACTGGGAGCGAGAAAAGGCAGAGCGCCCACATATGCAGCGAGAGCCAAAAGGAGGAGGGGCTGGCGGAGCGAGAAAAGACGAGAAGCGAAAAGGAAGAAACGGACGACGACGACGTCGACGACGACTACGACGACTACGACGACGACGATGAATGACGACGGCGACGGCGACGAGGAGGACGACGACGTTGACGACTACGACGACGACGAAGACGACGACGAAGACGACGACGAAGACAAAGACGACAACGAAGACAAAAACGACGACGAAGACGACGAAGACGACAACGACGACGACAACGACGATAACGACGACGACCACGAGGACGACGACGACGATGACGACATTGACGACCGCAGGGAGAACGACCAAGCGGGCCTCTCCGATGAGGTCGCGTCGGTGTGGTTGTAGTCCCAGACGGCATACCGCTCGCAGGTGGCCGTGGCGCACTGGCAGGGAGGGGCAGCTGCAGGAGGTATCGGAGGCGTCCAAGGGGGGGCATCTCCCAGAAGGAGGCTCGCAAATCATGGCCCGAGGCATGTGCGCGGCTCAGGAGGGGGCCAGGGGACGCGCTGGAGGAAAAAGAAGAAGAGGCCATGAAATCCGGGTCGGATATCATGGCCCTGGCCACGGTATATCCCCACCCCCAAGTCATCCCCCCCTTTTGGCCCTCCCCAGAGGAGAAGCAGGTGAAGGTTTTCGGATGCCTCTTTCCGACGGCTTCTGGGATGCTTGACTGAATCCAGGCGCTTGCTTTCGGAAGCATGGGCTCCCTGGCAGTCAAGAGGCGGGAAGGGGGGGCAGCGAGGAAAAGCAAGAGGAGGGGAAGGACGAGGAGGAGGAGGAGGAGGAGGGCAGGGAGGGGGAGCAGAACAAGGTGGCGGAGGCGGAGGAGGAGAGGCGAGGGAAAGGAAGAGGACGAGGAAGAGGAGGGGGGGAGGAGGAGGACGAAAGGAGGAGGACAAGCTAGGTGCGCTCACTCCATATCTGGCATCCTATCCGCCCCTTCTCTCCTATCCCTACCCCTTGCGCTCATGTTTTCTATCCGCGGAGGTGTATTACAGCCGACCCGGAACTCCCCAAAAAACTCCATCGTCTCATGCACAATCGGAAAAGGGGAGCTGCGCACACAGGACGGAGTGGCGGGTGAGCACGAGGAAGATCAGGAGCAAAAGGAGGAGGACGAGGATGAGCAGCCGCAGCAGCAGGATTGGGGCGGAAGGAGCAGAAGAAGCAGGAGGACCAGGGAGAGGCGGAGGAGCTGATCAGGAAGAAAAGAGGGAAGATGAGGCAGGATGAGGAGGACGACAACGAACAGAGGCAGGGGGAACTGGAGTGGAAGTAGCGGGAGGAGCACGAGGACAAGGGGAAGGCGGAGGAGGGGAAAGGAGGGGGGCGACAACGATGGGGAAGGACACGGATCCAGAAAAGGAGCCCACGCTGGGACGAGGTGAAATACCGAAAACCATCGGATTGGGAAACAAAGCGTAGGCAAGATCACCTTTGGCCAATTCTGTGTAGAAGCCATACTCGGAGAGGGCGGAATATCCTCCAGACATGGTGGTTCGCGATGGCTGTCCACCGGGTGGCCGCATCTACTTAGGCTTAGTCTGATGCCACTTATAAACTTATGAGTGGGCGAGACAGCTTGTGGCGTACCCGTTGGGACCTTCACCCCTGCTCCTCCTTGATGAGCCCCCTCCCCCCTACGCCCGGCCACTGACCCGAAACTCTGCCGCCCCCCCCACCATCCCTGCCAAGGAGAAAAACAGCATATATGATGCGGCAAAAGCTGTGACCATGTTGACAAGGATGGTGGTTGGGGGGCCGACGTGCTTCCTGATGCGCGCTGTCACGTAAACTGGCGCACCTGGCACACTCTGTGCGAGTCGCGCAAGTAGCGCACCTAGCGCGGCTGGAGCACGTGGCGTACTGGGCACGTCTGGAGCACGCGCCGCATCTGGCGCACCAGGCGCGCCTGGCAACCTAGTGCGCGCGGCGCGCACTTGGCACGCGTGGCGCACCAGCGTCGCGAACCTGGCGTCCGTCTCGGTTGCCAGTAGCTGCCTATCCAATTGCGGCCGCCGAGTATGCTGGGACTCGGGTGCTACTCATGTGCGGGGAGGGAGGGTGGGAGCGAGCGAAAAGGCTTGCAGCTCGTGGGCAAGCCTGACCCCTCACCCTGCCCCCTCCCCTGGGTCTAGAGCGGAGAGGGTGGGTGGGGTGGGGTGGGGGGGCGACACGTACACGTTACAGGGTCCAAAATGGCTCCCGATGGAAAACCGCCAGGATTGCAGAACACATGCCTGGTCTCCGGCGGCCGTTTGTGACGATCTGGGCACCCCAGGCAGCTCTCGGCGAGGCGCAGCTGCTGGAGAGCATCTCGAGGCTGGCAAGCCTACGAGGACAAGCGCGAAAGCGTCCGAAAGACCTCAGGGCAGATATCCCCCGTTAAACCCACAGAGCCCCATCGTCCCCAGAGGCCCCCCGGCGCGGGCAGCTGTCCTCGTACCTCAGGTCCTCGCTGGCGCGGCCGCCGCCGATCAGCCGCGCCGCCGCGAGCGCCGCCACGGCCACGCGGCGGCGCATCGCCGCGCGGGCGGCGATCCCCCGAGAGGCCGCCTCCGTGCCAGGCCAAGGCCTTCCTCTCGCCATCGCTCGGACGTCCATTCTCCGTGCATTGTTCGACGTCGTGCGTTTCTCTCAAGGCCGAGCTAACGGCGACGTGGGTCGACGGCGATGCTGGGAATCTGTTTTTTTGTTGCGACGCCGAACTCGCGCAGAACAGATCGTAGGGAAGCACGAGCAACGTTTCCTACAACTGGGTTGGCGACAAACCGCCCAAACCTACAATACCGAAGCATGCATCGCCGCTTCCTACATGGCCGTTAGCGTGTCTACGGCAACTTCTTCACATGGCAATTTAAGATGCTCCTCGATGGTCCTCGCCATGAATAGATGCACACGTCCGGGCGATTCCAAGTCCTCGGCGGGTCCGACGATCGGATCTTTGCAGCCCGCGGTGTTCCCTCTGTTTTAATGGGCCTATTTTCCACCACCACCACCATAAGTTGCAGGGGGGACGGAGGTGGAGGAGGAGGAGGAGGACGAGGAGGAAGAGGAAGAGGACCCCCTCCCCCTCCAACTCATGGTGGTGGTGGTGGAAAACAGGCCCATCATGTTTGGGGATGCGTACCCTCAGGGCTTTCGAACGTTTTCGTAGGGTTTCCGTCTGCTTTCCAGCCTCGGGATGCTCTCCTCGCCGAGAGCGTTCTAGGAGTGCCCAGATCGTCCCGAATGGCCGCCCGAGATCCGAGTCATGACCCGAATATTGAATATCTGAAGGTACGTATGTGTCTTTTTCAATGCCGACGGTTTTGTTTCCTCGGGAATCGGGATCGGGAAATTGGGGGCAGAAGATCACAGAGACTGGCTGAATGTATTAATACAAAGGGGAGGGCGCAAAGCAGCTCGACATCTCAAAACACCCACAATGATCAAGCATGCGTCGATATAGCGTCCTGATGGAAACCTTGCAGACACGGGTGAACGAGCAGATGTGTTGGCCGATTACTTCGAAGACGTTCAATGGCAAGTTCGCTTCCCAGAAAGCACTCTGGAGCCACGCCCCCCCACCAGGCAATCAGCTGCCTATCAACACGGGTCCGTTTACAATGTAAGAACTTGTCGAAGCGCTTCGCCGGCTACGTTGTGGCAAAACTGCTGGACCTGATGGTTGCTGGAAAACGTTGGGGTCGGGCCCGGAGGCACCTGCAATTATGCTTCGCTTGTGCCAAACATGCTGGGAACAAAAATCCAGATCCGCATCTTGGAGGCGCGCGAACGTGGTTCTCTTATGCAAGACAGGAAAAAAACACTTTTCCTGAAAACTACAGACCGACTTCGTCATTACAAGTTGGATATAAGCTTCTTGCGCCCATGTTGCACCATCGTTTGCTTCGAGGTGGCATTGAATCCAGAATGCGGGGTTCACAATTTGGGTTTCGCCCTGGGCCCTGGGCGTGGGACGGCCGTCGTTCTCATGCTGGTCTGGCGCATGGTTGACGCGGCACATGCTAACAAGAATAGTGGCCTTATTTTGTTGATGTTGGATTGGGCAAGAGCCTTTGACAGACTGAAGCCATCAAGTGCGTGCGACGTCCTACAACGTTTCGGGCGCACGATGCCTTTGGGACGATCAATTTCGAGGCTAACCCCGCTTACGCGGTGATGCGGGACATCTTGTATGCAGAAGACACGCTCCTGGCCTCGCAGAGCAAGACGAATGTCCAGAGCATGCTGAATGCTGTTGTGGTGGAGGGGCGTAAATATGGTATCGAGCCTTACTGGAACAAAACACTCCGAATACATATTGCTACCAATGACTCGGTTGTCCGGCCTGATGGTGGTCCTACCAACGCCGTTCGGGAAGCGGTCCACTTGGTTGCGATGGTAAAGCAACTCCGGAAATCACCCGCCACCTGGGGGAATCGCATGGCATCTTCAACAAGTTGGCAAATATATGGTCGCACACCACGGTTGGACGGAAACGAACATGCAAATGACACGAAAGCGTTGTTTTAAGCAAGCTGCTGTGTTGACTTGATTCTTTGTGGCCGTGACAGGCAGACAAATGCAGGCTCGACGCATTCCAGTGCTGCTGCCTGCGGCACATCTTGGGCATACCGCACTCGTATCTGTCGCGCGTGAGTAACGCGGATGTCATGGACAGAGCTAGCTCCAAACCTCTTTTCCAGATTCTGCTTGGAAGGCAAGACCTGCTGTATTGCAAAATCGCAGCAAGCGGTTCTTCATCCTTGGTACGCAAATGCTTATGTAATCTTGATGGTACTCCTGAAGACTCGGTGGTGCACTGGAAGCGCGGCCGACCCAGAGAGCAGTGGGTGGCCGAAGTCTCGCTTATCGCATTTTCCGAAGAGTTGCCAATCGCGCGCTCTTCTGCCCAAGCGTCCCTCTGGATGCTCGGCTTAGGTGGTGGTGGTGGTGGCGGTTTTACCTCGATTTGGGCTTCCAGGGCCCAGGGCAATGAACCTTGCCCCGGGGCGAAAAGCTGGCCCCGGGGAAGGGGCCAGGACCTCTGGGGCCGTGCATTGTAAACATCACATCGGCAGATGTCTGCGTACCTAACTGTTTTCCCCAGCGACTCCCAGCACCAGCTGCGCCAACGTACCGAGGAACGCGCCCTGCAGCTTGGCTAAGCCAGCTGCATGCAGCAAATTTCGTTTCCCCACCCCCAGGTGTCCCCAGGATGTCCAAGGATGTCCCAAAGGCCTGCAAACCACACCTGTCGAGACCCTGCAAAAGGCCCCACTGGGGCCCTCTGGGCCTCCGTCCTCCTCCTTCCTCCTTCCTCCTTGCTTCCTCATCCTGCTCCTGCTCCTGCTCCTGCTCCTGCTCCTCCTCCTCCTCCTCCTCCTCCTCCTCCTCCTCCTCCTCCTCCTCCTCCTATTCTTCCTCCCTCTCCTCCTCCTCCTCCACCTCTTCCTCCTCCTCCTCCCTCATTCTCCCCCTCTGGATCGAGACAGCCGGCCTGTCGTCGTTTTTGTGTTGACGGCCCTGGGGCCCAGTATGGGCCCCCGGAGGCCGAAAGGGCCGAAAACTTCCCGTCTACGGCGAGGAGGCCCAGAAACCGCCAGGAGCGTTCCTCGACCCTCGAGCCTCGACTGTTCACGACGCGAAGATGTCTGGGATGGCGCTGGCCAGGCACGCTGGTGGGCGTGCAGGCGCGCCCTTTGCGCGCCGTCGGCGGCGCGCGCGGCTGGCCCCCGAGCGGCGCGCCCAGCTCGCGCGCGCGCCCGGCGAGCGGCGGCGAACGGCGGCGTGGAGGCACGGGGCACGCGCGCGCGGGATTAGGCGGGGGCCGTCCCCGTCGCCGCCGCCGCCGCGGCCAACGTCGCCGTGGCCGCCGCCGCCGCCGTCGTAGCCGTGGTCGTCGTGGTCGTCGTGGCTGTCGCGGCCGTGGTCGTCGTGGTCGGAGTCGGCGTGGTCGGCCCGCGGCGCAGCACCAAAGAGGTGGGCAGGGCAGGGGGGGGCAGCGGGGCGCGGCGGCCCCCGAGGTGGCGGCCACCCAAACGGAGCCATCATCAGCATGAGCATGAGCATGAGCATGAGCATGAGCATGAGCATGAGCATGAGCATCATCATCATCATCATCATCATCATCATCATCATCATCATCATCATCATCATCAGCATCATCATCATCATCAACAACAACAGCATCATCAAAATGATCCTCCTCCTCCTCCTCCTCCTCCTCATCCTCATCATCATCATCATCATCATCATCATAATCATCATCATCATCATCATCATCATCATCATCATCACCATCATCATCATCAGCAGCAGCAGCATCGTCATAAGCAGCAGCATCATCATCACCATCACCATCATCATCACCATCCCCGTTACCACGACCATCACCATCACCGCCACCAACACCATCACCAGAGCCACCACCACCACCACCATCAGCATCATCATCACCATCATCAGCATCGTCATCATCATCGTCATCATCATCATCACAATAATCATCATCATCAGCATCGCCATCACCATCATCGTCGTCGCAAACCATCATCAGAATCATCATCATCACCATCATCATCAAGATCATCAGCATCATCATCATCATCATCATCATCATCATCATCATCATCATCTGAATCAGCATCACCATCACCATCATCGTCGTCGCTCATCATCATCATCATCATCATCATCATCATCATCATCATCGTCATCATCATCATCGTCGTCGTCGTCGTCGTCGTCATCGTCGTCGTCGTTGTCATCGTCGTCGTCGTCACCACCGCTACCACCACCAGCGAAACCACCAACACCACTATCATTACCATCATCAAGATCATAATCATCATCAGAATCATCATCGTCGTCGTCACCACCACCACTACCATCATCATCAACATCATCATCATCATCATCAATATCATCAGCATCGTCGTCGTCATCACCACCATCCCCATAATCATCACCATCGTCATCATCATCATCATCATCATCATCATCATCATCATCATCATCACCATCATCACCATCACCATCACCGTCATCACCATCACTGTTACCATCATGTTCCCAATTACCGTCATCACCATCACCACCACTGCCACCATCACCACCACAACCACCACAAACACCACCACCATCATCATCATCACCATCAGCATCATCATTATCGTCAGCATCGTCATCATCATAATCGTCGTCGTAGTCGTCAGAATCATCATCACAACTATTATCACCGTCATCATCGCCATCACCATAACCATCACCATCACCGCCACCAACACTGCCACCAGCACCACCAACATTGCCATCATCGTCATCATCATCGTTCTCATCATGACCATCATCATCAGCATCCTCAGCATCATCATTATTATCATCGTCATCGTCATCATCATCATCATCATTATCAGTAGCACCACCTGCAGTATCATCATCGTCACCACCATCACCATTACCGCCACTATAATCAGCAGCAGCATCATCCGCATCCTCGTCCTCGTCTTCGTCCGCGAGCTCTCTCTCCTACTCCTCCCTCCTCCTCCCTCCTCCTCCCCCTTCCTCCCTCTCCAACTCCTCCACCTCCAATCGAAGATGCCTTGAGACAGCTGTCCAGGCTCCTGCACTCGCGAATTGTTCTCACTGGCCTGTGACCTGAGGTCTCGACCTACTCCCCAGAGACCAGCTGGCCATCCCAAGCCTGTTGATTCTTAACGGCCACGGCGCCCGACGGAGGCCCCAGTAGCCGAAAGTTACCGATCACAATGCGTCAGAGTCGCAGGGATCGCGTTTTTGAATTATTCGGGTTCAGGCTTGCTGCCAGGGCAACACCCCCCTTCTCCCCCCCCCCCCGCAGTAACGTCACGATGTGTGGCGCTCCATCTGGGAATGGCTAGGGGTACCTAATTCTTAGACGGCGCCAGCGCAAGTCGTGACGTTACTGGTCCCCTCCCCTCTCCATCCCCCAGAGCATGGCCCTCGTGCTACCAGGGGGAGCGCTCAAGAATGAACGAAGGAGCTCTTCTGGCCACAGGCGAGCGTCGGCCACGGGAGGGCTCCCGACCTGGATGAAAGGAGCGGCGCGAGAGCCAGAGCAACTCCCGAACTCGAGGCGGTCGTAATTTCAACGTCGCGACCGCGACGCCCGCCACGCCAGGAGGCTCCCCGACCTGGATTAATGGAGCGGCGCGAAAGCCAGAGCAACTCCCGAACTCAAGGCGATATTAATTTCAACGTCGCGACCGCGACGCCCGCCACGCCAGGAGAACAGTTTGTAGAACAACAGGGTTGCCACAGTGGAACCCAAACACTGTGCCTCTAGCAATCCACGCCGTGCTCTTTACGTGGACCGAAAGATGCGGTGCAGCCTATGTGGGAAATACTGTTGGTGCAGACACCGCAGTGCAAGCGAGGTGGTGCAATATACGTTGTGCAAGCTACGGGTTGCAATCCACGTTGCACAAGCGATGTGGTGAAACATATGTGACGCAATGTCTGTGATGCAACCTATGTGGAGCAGTCTACGTGGTGCAACATATGTGGTGCAACTAATTTCTGTTCGCATTGAGTTGTCCACTCCACTGCTCGCGCAAACATCCCACCCACCCACCCAATCTCTTTAGACCGCCGTGACGGTGGGTACCACATGGCACTTGGCAACAACAGCGACGCCGACGACGACAGCGACAACGACGATGACGACGCCGCCGACAACGACTACGACGACACCGACGACGTCTCCAACGACTTCGACGACGCCGACAACGACGACGACGACGACGACGACGACACCGACGACGACGACGACGACACCGACGCCGACGACGACGACGATGACAACGACGACGACGATGACGACGCCGACGACGACGATAACGACGACACCGACGACGACGACGTCAACGACGCCGACGACGACGACGACGACGACGACGGCGGCGACGACGACGACGCCGGCGTCGACGACGACGAAGACGACAACGACGCCGACGCCGACGACGACGAAGACGACGACGTCGCCAACGAAGACAACGAGGAAGGAGGGAGGACGACGACGGCGACAACGACGACAACGACGAGGGAGGAGGGAGGACGGCGACGACGCGAACGACTAAGAAGGAGGAAGTCGGACGGTCGGAGGCCTCCGTGACCGAGGCTGAGGGAAACGACGCCGACGACGACGTACGAAGACGACGACGACAACGACGACGACGACGGCGACGAAATAGGAGGGACGACGACGAGACGCCGACGACGGACGCCGACGACGACGTGGGAGGAGGAGGAAGGACGACCACGGCGACAACGACGATGGAAACGACCACGACGCCAAAGAGGACGACGACGACGAACACGAGAAAAGACAGAGGACGACGTAGGCGACGACGACGACGACGACGCGGGAGGAGGGAGGACGGTGACGACGACGACGACGACGACAGACGACGACGCAGGAGCGCGCGCGCACGTCCTTTTGTTGAAAATCGTGTTGCGAAACCTTGTGTTTTTGTATGTTTTTTGGAGACACGATTTTGAAATCCTTCCGAAACCGATGGGTTTTGTGAAGGTTTTCGGCATACGCGCGCGACGACGCGCGCGTCTGCACTTCGTCCCATTTTTTGCAGGGGATTCTCGCGACGGCACACGCGCAAGGGCGTTCGACAGATTTCGACATGAGCGCGCGCGATGCCCGTTTGGTAGCATGTTGTGAAAATCTTGAAACACCGATGGTTTTCTCAAGATTTCGCAAGAACTTTCGCGGAAGCTTTTTTAGCAACTCTGTGTTGCGAAACCCTGTGTTTTTTGCATGTTTTTGGAAACTCGATTGCGAAATCCTTCCCGCACCGAAGGTTTTTGAAGGATTTCGGCATGCGCGCGCGACGACGCGCGCGTGCGCATTTCGTCTCATTTTTTGCAAGGGATTCTTGAAAAAGTGCGATGTTAGAGCAAAAATGACACCGCATAGTGTTTTTTACAAGGGAACCTCAGGGTGGGGGAACCCGGCCTAGCTGGGATGGTATGATTTCATATTTAGGATGGACGAGTGTGCAGAATAGTTACGAAATCATACTATCCCAGGGGGAAGCGATAAGTCCGGGGGAGAGGGGGGGTAGAGTCATTCTGTTTTTAGAGAGGGGAATTCACTTGCCGAACTTGAAGTTGTCAACTCCACTGCTCGCGCAGTCATCCCACCCACCCACCCGCAACTTGGTTTGCAAAACCCATGCGGGACCGAGCACAGATATCGCTCCGGGGTCGTCTTGGAGCCCTCGGGGGCGTCTCAAGAGCGCCCCAAAAAGGCCGGAGAAGCAAGACGGCCGACGACGACGACGACGACGACGACGACGACGGCGGCGACGACAACGACACCGACGTCGACGACGACGAAGACGACGACGCCAACGACGACGACGACGACGAAGACGACGACGACGTCGCCAACGAAGACAACGAGGAAGGAGGGAGGACGACGACGGCGACGACGACGGCAACGACGACAACGACGACAACGACGACAACGAGGGAGGAGGGAGGACAGCGACGACGCGAACGACGAAGAAGGAGGAAGGACGGCGACGCCGACGACGACAGCGACGAGGGAGGAGGGAAGACGACGACGAGACGACGACGACAACGACGACGACGACGGCGACGAAATAGGAGGGACGACGACGAGACGCCGACGACGGACGACGTCGACGACGACGACGAGGGAGGAGGAGCAATGACGGAAACGACCACGACGCCAAAGAGGACGACGACGACGACGAACACGAGGAAAGACA